TTTTCCTATGTTTCGAGGGGTGAATCGATTAGCTTGGGACCGAAGATAGTACCAGAGCTGAGCCAAAAAGTTGAGCACGTTTCTTCGGGACCTACTAGTCTTAGAGTTACCTCTATGCTATGACTCGCGAACTTTGTTGAACTTCGTGAAATATCGGGAACTTTTTCAACCCTGATTAGAAGTTCTTTCCTGACTGTTTCCGAACTCAATGCTAGGAGCAGAAATTTACCCAGTTCCCCTACATCTTACATGTGAAATACTTGTCTTTAATCCCTTTTATATTTCTTTCCCTTGAGCACAATTTTAGACCCAGCCCAGCAAGAAAATTATTCCGGATAATACGCTTAACCAAACGCTAATTCGAGGTTAGATTCTTATAATGGGAAATCCCAAAAACAGGGTTTTCACCTTCAAAAACTTCACTCAGAAGCTAATTTCCGGGCTAACTAGATTTACAATGAAGACCTGTCAATGCTGTCTAGGCAATGCTTGTCCACGTTTCTTTGAATCATCATTCAATCATAAAAGTGCTACTCCAAGCAATCAAAGCAAAAAGACACCCAAGCAAGACTATTATTTGCTATTATCCTAAATTCTCATTTATTTGATTCTCTGAGCTAATCAGGCTGTTAAGAACACAATAAGGAACAAGAACTACAACTGTTCAGAAAAAAATCATCCTCTTCTCTTAACTCTTTACCATTCTGAATTTACTCAAAAGCGCTCCAATGCGTCCAAAGGATCTACGTCAGACGCAATTAGGTGTAACATCTACCGTATGCGTGATAATGTTTGCACCATCGTACAAATAAGGTTCCCGTTTTACCTGTGCATACAATGCCTTAGTTTTCTTTGCATGCACGTAACCTTTAGCTCATACCGTAGTAGGCTGTGTATAAAAGAAAATGATTTACTTAGTTTGACAGTTGCACCATGACGAAGTGACAGTGTATTTGTGATTTGTCCCACGCGCAAATGTCGCAAAAAGAGATTCCAATCGCCGTGGGAGTGTCCCGGTGGACCGTCAAAAGGGTTTTAGACTGAGAAAAGAAAGGACAACTATCCGCGAAGGTGGCCACAGGTCGTCCGAGGTCAGCTCGGGTTCCGAGCGTTATCGCTGCTATCAAAAGGTTGATTCGGGTGAATCAAGTGCGTTCAATAAGGAAAACGGCAAAGATCCTGTTCACCGACGAGAGCATGTTTACAGCCAGGCCAAGGCCTCTTCTAAACGCCACCCGAGTACAGCAAGCCTCAGACAAACATTAACCCGTACCTGGAGAGAAATGGATCCAGACTACATTATTAGAACCTGCCGTGCATTCCGGAAGCGTGTGGAGGCCGTAACTGCAGCAAGTGGAAACTCGATCGATGATTAACATAGAGAAACATCCCCCCTTTGAATAAATAAAAAAAAAAACTGGAAAACTCGAAAACGAAATTATTGAGAATTTTTTTAATTTCAAACATTATCACGCATACGGTATTAGGAGACGCACATACCCATTTGGAGGTTAAATTTTGTAACAACTAACAACGTTTAGTTTCTACGGAAATAGATTTTTATCAACCGTCAAGATCTCAGGAATGTGTCAACACCCAGTGGGAGCTGAATTGATATTATGTGCAAACTCATCAAAATACCCTTTTATTTGAGTAATTCTAGCTCAACCTGTAAAAATGCATCATTAAGCATTGAGCAACCACAAAATCGCAATTCTATTTAACATTTGAAATGAACAACCATCGTCAAACTACACCGAGTTATTAAGTTGTTTGAAACTAACTAAGTTAGTCATACTTATTAATAAGTTTCTGTCCCCTGATTTTTCAGGTTTCTCCAGATAGTCGACACCCTGTTAACGTTTTTGATTAACTTACAAATAAACATAATATGAATAATACGCATGTTTTACTATTGAAGATTCTATTGTTTTTTTGCCAGTATTTAACCGTAAACAAAGCACGTTGGTACTGGCTCACGTGTTGATGGGTTCGATATGTTCTAGGTGTGGAAGTCACCTCCCTGGTACACGATTGCCGTCGGTGATTAATCACCAATTGGCAATTGAGTAATAGTTTCCACCCTCAAATCCGACCGATGAGAACCAGTTTTGCGATATGGAGATTTTTGAAAAATCGTCGATTTCTCTTCAAACCATGCTTCTAGCGGTGAGAAAATTTCTACATTTTGATCTTTTTAGTAATAGTGACATTAGGTAGGAATAATGTATCGGACAAATTGAACCATTATTGATATTTTTAATTAGAAGTGAATTTCGCCAGAAGCAGCATGAAACACCTAATTGTCACTCATCAGTGGTTGGTACTCGATTGCAGAACAGAGACCGACTTTACATAAAAAACTAAATAAAAGGTTAAAGTTTTCTCTTGAATTCTTAAGCAAAAAATGCTCAAGTTATGATACAATTATTTAGTTTAAAATTATTTCTGTCAATTTTTTTTTATATTATATTGTATCAAAATGCAGTTATCAACATTTATGAAACATCATTTGAGAGGGATTCTCGAGCAACTTGACTTCCACAATTAATTTTCAAATACTGCGCTACAATTGATATACCGTCGGGAAAAAACAAAGAAGCAATTACTATCGCAGTTTCTGTCGTATCTTTTATCGAACGCATAAGTTGGACTGGGACATTTTCTATGAATAGCTATTGATCTTGACAACTGAACGGCATTGGATGCTTCCTGCGCAACAGCCATAATTGATCCCTTTGGTTTCAGTTAACTAATCATCATATGGGAAATCTTGAAGATGGCATTTTAAAGCAATTTGGGACTATTAATTTATATGTGTTCAGTAATGCAACCGTTACAGAGTTGCATTGGTATCAATCTAATGAAGTTCACTTAGCCTAGGGGAATTGGGTTCTTTAATTTTGAAAAATGTATTGTTTTTTATACATCATCCGATAGAGCTTCGTTTTCTGAGCACAGCGATATTTTTTTCGAACCCACACACTTCCATCTCGATTTTTAAATTAAGATTTAAAGCAAAATAATAACTTCACTGTTTGACACTAAACTAACAAACTGACAGCTCGCTCCCATACGACACCGAGGGGCGCTAATAAGGTGATTTTTGCAAATGTAATCGAACTTATTTAAAATAGTTCCAGTGTACCCAAATTGATGAAATTTCGGGTTTGGGTTCCATTTTTAATTCAGATTACGAATATGTATTTACCTCAATATCCTTAAAGAACCCAATTGAGTATGCGTGGGAAAGTTAGAGTTTCGATAAATTGACGTTTGAATCTTTGTTTGCAAAAGCAGATTCGTCCATTTGAAAAAATATTTGACACTTCCTCTTATTCTGTGAGTTTAGTATTTATTGTAGAATTATTGTGCTAATTAACTTATACAGGAGGTACGGTGCCAAGATAAGGTATAACTATAGACACATGGTCATTAGGGTGCTTCATTTTGAAAAAAGTGTTAGGTAGGCCACCATCCAGTTTGATTCATTGCCCTAAAATATGTCTCCGTGTAAAAAATGGTAAAGATTGATGAAGGTTTAGAGGTCGCAAATTACTTTGGAAAATTTGAATTTCACTTAGATCGCTCTCACTTTGGTTCTAATTGTCCAAACGTATAAAACAAATAATATGTGTCTTCCATGGCAATGTCCAGCAAGCCTGTTTAAATTGGTGTTGTAGTCTTTCAAATATCCAACTATAAATTTACCCTATTTTGTCATTTTTTCTGCTTTCTATCGTTCTTGAAGTGCTGCCAAACTGACCGTTACAACACACTTGTTGGTGATTGGGACATATTACTTTTTTCGGACATTTGGACAACTAGAACCAAAGTAAGAGCGATATATATGAAATTTAATACGTTTCCATAGTTATTCTCATAAACATTGTAAACCATTTGTGTGACCTTTAAACCTTCATCAATCTTTACTATTTTCAACTGCAAAAAGGCGAATTAGCGGGCTTGTTGGTTACTTGGGTAATGGTCATCATTGTCTTAGCTTTGAGACTGAGATACAAAAACCATCGCCTAGTGACTGAATTCTATTACAACAAGCTTTGCAAGACATCAAAACTCTTTCTCGAAAAACCCGAGCTACCCATTGAGATACAACGTTTTGAAACTCTGCATAATACGAACTCACATATTGTATGTACATCGGTTTGAATTTATAAGACTCATTATATCATTCCTGCGAGATCACTCAGCACCATTCCGCACTCAGACCGAGCACCGAAATCGTTTCCGAATCTTCACATATCTCGCCTCCCGAGCCAATACCGATCAAAATGTTTGTCATTTCAATCCCCGCCTTGGGGGTGCATTGCGGTCACCTTGTTGACATTTTTGTACCAACTGTCACAACAACACTTGCCTGTCTGTCCGCCAGAATCCAATTATCTTAATTGAGTTATGATTCGTCTTCTCCGTCCGAACGAATCTTTCGCATCGCTCAAGTGTTCTAAATTGCACCGCACACCACCACCGCACCAGCAAGCATCCGCAGAATCCTACGACACTCTCGAAAAATGGATCACGAGACAATCAACAGAAATACGCAACATAGCTGAGAGGAACTCGCTCGCTATGTGGCGTTGATCCCCGCACCCGTGCCCACAGTGATGCAGGCATTTCCCAAATGCAATTGTAATGCATTATGCAATCGATTCACTGCCGTCGCCGCGCCAGGCAAGTCGATCACGTCACGATCGATCACTGACAGCTACGTGCATCACAGTGCATTATCACACTTAACCGAGCAGCGCTGCAGTGCAGTCTGGCCCGGTTCTAAATATAATCGTCAACTACTGAAAGCTATTCAGATCCACTCGATCGCACTCGATGGAAAGTGTTTGACTTTGCCAAGATCACTTGTAACAATTTTGTAGAAACCACATTTATAGGTTCCTATCGTGTCGTCGTCTATTTCGATTCCGTTGATGGCGAGGAAAGGCACCAGATCCAGGCAAATGGAAACAACTATTCAAACAACTGACCATAAATCACTGGTTTTATGTTCCAACACACGTTGAAGTCACTATGCGCGCGCGAACGCGAACTGGAAAATTTCTAGAGCATGTACTTTATCACCTCGCAGCCCGTCAAATGTGACTCAATGTCAAACACACTATCAATCAACCGACTCGACTTGGTTGAGGTTTATTTTATGGTCAAAATTTCCACGACTGTCTTTTACACTGCACTTTTCCGGCGTTACACGCTAAACACCGCTTCCATTCAATGTCATTGATTTCTTTCAAGAAAACTAGCACGTGTTTCAAGCGCACGCCGCATCATCCCACAGTAGCCAGTGTTCCGGCAGGAGGCAAGCAGAAAGGAATTTCCGGACCACGGTCGTCGAAAAAATGCATCCCGCGGAACGGTCGCGGAAAATCCCTAGCACTCCCACTATCCCGACGAAGTTGACGCAATAGCAACAACAACAACAACACTAACGACAACAACAACGGTGACGATGCGCACCTTCACGTAGCCGATATGGTGCAACCTCAACAACAGTCCGTCAGCGGTGAACGCGCGCGTATCAAAACCGAAAAATCAACTGAAACAGAAGAATTTCGAGCCGTCTGCTTTAGGTTGGAAATTCTCGCAAAACCTGTTCGTCGTGTAGCGTAGCAGTGAGGCTTCACAATACACTGACACCAGCCGACCGACCAATCATGTTGCCCAAAGCGAGGATATCGTGCAGTTGTGGGGGGGAAAAAGAAGAAACCGATTGTCGGTGTGTGGGTTGAATGGGAACCGGTTTGGGTGTAATTCTGTATGGCGATGGGAGTGGCTTAGCCAGGGAATAGCATACGCTTGCAAGCTCCGCCCATTGGCGGTGCATTGCAGTGATGATGATGATGATGTGCGTTGCCGTTAATCCGTGGACGATGGTGCAAGATGAAGCGGGTTTATTGTGATGTATGATTGAGCGCTGCACTAACACAATGAAGCCTAAAGGCTGATGGAGTACGTGTGCAGAGTGTGCAGGGAAGTAAGTTGAATGAAAAGTGCATTTGCGGGAGTTCATGAAAGTGCGAGAGGGTGGTCGTTGGAATTACGGCTGTTGATGGTTTGTATCGCTTTGTTGGTGAATGGTTTTCTACAAATCCGGTAGTAGTTTTACCTTGCTTTTTGAGAAAACCTTTATGATGTTGGCAATGTTTTGCAGAATAGGAAATCTAATAAAAGTTTGGAATATAATTATCCTTCGTTTAGCCAAATTTTATTATGGTCAAATCAATTTGAAAGTTGTCACCCAATTAGAATTTTTTAATTTAATATTAAATCAATGAGTAAACCTTAATTAATACACTGATGGTGAGATCTTACACTTCTTTCCAATATGATGTGAGGTGATAGATGAATTCTCATGTGGTTCGAAGTATCGCGTGATGGTTTTGACCCTAGTCAGAAACTAGTCACTTTTCCGAGGGTTCTAGAACATATCTGAATATGACCAGCGTGATCCTGGGCACTCCACATGTCTAGCATTGAGCTGGTTTTTGATTTCTCATGGAGATTTTGACCATAATCAGAAACTGGCCAATTCTCTGGGGGTAACATGTCCGGTTGTGGCCAGTGTTATCCTGGGCACTTAAAAAGTCTATCATTGAACTGGTTTTTGAATTCTGATGTTATTTGATTGCGTTTTAACGTTTAAAGTTTAAAGTCGGGTTTAAAAAAGACAACTTTAAAAAGTCTTATGGCCCATACAAACTGGATCATGATCCAGCCATATCGCCGGAATTAGGTGATGTAACACCATCGTACTTTTTATTTGGTGGTTGATGCCTCAGCTCAGTGGTTGCCAAAAATTTCATGATGAACTTGCCTCACGTTAATAAAGATTAAAAAAAAAAACATTCAAACATAATCTTCTGGCCTCCTTCAGAAACTTCTTTCAACTACCACTAGAAATTTCTTCCGATTTCATTTGAAAACTTCTTAATACATGGCCCAAATTTTTTTCTGACTTCCATTGAAAGTGCCTTCCGTTTATTCCAGGTTGCCTGATTTATCATTCACAGCCTGAGGAATTTTAGCTATGCCAGACAGATTTTTTGATAAACCTACGGTCATTTAATCTGCAAGATTTTTTTCAGACTTCTTTTCAGGTTTTGCCAGATTTTTTCAGAATAAACCTGGCTTCCGTGCTTCCAACTACCCTCGGAATTTTTTTTTTCTTAATTTTTCAAGAAGGCTCTTGCAAATTCCCCCGGAAATTTCTTCCATATTTCCGCGGAAGCTTGTTCCAGTTTAGTTTCTTTCGGCTTTCCCCAGAAGTGCTTCTGGGTCCGTCCAAAAACTTCTTCTGACATCATCTGAGAGTTTTTCCAGTAGTTTATTCTGACTGCTACCGGGATATTTTTGCACTTTTTCTTGGAAGCTCCTTCTGACATCCCTCAGGAGCAGTGTTGTAAGTGGTCAAAGTAGTAGACGCATTTTTTGTCATAATGAGCTGCCTTTGCTTCCGAAATTCTAAAAACAAATTATCGAAATACAGTACCAAACTAAAATGTCTCTCACCACGACACTGTCGTGAAAGAAAGTAGCGTCTCAATTTCAATTTTCAATTTAAGTTTTCAATTTTAATTTTTAATTTTAATTTTCAATTTCAAACCTCAATTCAAATTTTCCATTTGTATTTTGTCATAACAAGAGTTGCTTTTGATGTGAATTCTAAAAATAACATGGAACGATGTCCTAGTGTTAACATTTCTGATCAGAAACGTTTGAATATACACAAAATTAAAGAACTAGAACGAAATTAAGCTATCTGATAGTTTTCTTCAATTCCGAAGATTGTTCTATCATTTGTTTTGTGTGAGAGAGAGAGACTACGGAAGAGCATGAGTGTATGAATACAAACAACATGTAGCTCACGTCCAGGGCTGGAAAGCACCTCAGAGAGTTAGCAAAGCAACTTTGCGCATGCATCTCACAACACTTGACAAATACTGGCTGTGCCGCTGTTTCACATTAATAGTTTATAACTAAACCAAATAGTATAGTATGTTGAAACAATGGGCTCCTCGTTAACTAAAGGCTCAAACAGTTTCAGAAAACGATATTTTTGCAAATACATGGATGATTTAATCTATAAAAATAAGTTGAAAAACAAAATGTTCCTTCCGAATGCGTAAAGATTTGTTTTTAATTAAAAATTATTATTCGAATATGTTTGTCATGTCCTTTGTTAAGACTTAACAGAGAAAATTAAACCAACAAATATTATTTAAGACTGATACCATGTTAGATTTAGTTCCTCTTATGAGGTTTCGGACAGTGCATTTTCGTGTTATTTGAACGTATCGTTACAATATAATTTTGACTATTTCAAGGTTCTAAAAACTCATAATATCTTTTTGAAGATGCTCTATACAAATGACATTCAGCATCTACAATCGGCATTCAATATGTTTTAGTTGCGAACAGGTTGAACTGGGTCGCTCTTGTCGAAAATCTATACTTCTATTTTTACATTTTTCGGCACGATTTAAGTACAGAATTAATGTTAAATTAGGCCAAAACAATAAAAAAATGTTGTGTTTTCTTCGTAGTCTTTTCGATGGATGCTAAAGCTACTTATATTGTGAAACAACTTCAAAACATATTTAACGGTGTTTACAAAAGTGCGAAAACCTGTTTTGCCACACTTTCCAAAATTTATAAGAAGACCAAAATCTAAGATCATAAAAGAACCTAAAACGCAGTTTTTTATTTGTTTATGAAGATTACTTTTTAAGAAGGACGTGAAATACATAGTTGAACAACCTTTTTTCATTTTAGAATATTTTTTTTATGGATTTGAAGAGATTAATTTGTTAACAACTTATTTTCGATACAGCGCTTATATCTCTGAAAATTCTTGAGAAAATATCGTATATACATACCATCCGAGAGGAGGGCGACAGGGCTTGCATTTGGCATATTTATAATTTTGATGGCTGGTATTAGGTGTTTATATGTAAGCTTGCCTCCCACTTATTTAAAAACTAAGCATACCTTTATTTACTTATTTATTTGTTGTCAATCAGTAGAGTAAGGGTAGAGCGTTTGGATACAATGATAATTACAATTTATGTCTTACTTCTAAACAATAAGGGAAATAGCTCTTATATTAGCCTATGGATCGAAGATTGGGCCCATCGCTAAAAATATGATATTTATCAATTTTATCTAGATGAACACGTCATTGAGACAATACTTATGGATATTTTTGGTCGCTATTGAAAATTTAGTCGATTGCTGAATTTATGTATGGGCCCATATTAGGGGCACTTAGGCCGACATTACATCCATTTCCCCTATTATATAAAAAAAAAACTAAACAGAATATTGTTTAAATTGTATTACTTTTGCGTGTTCAATAATTGAGGAATAGAATTTAAGTCGCCATCATCTGATTTAGAGGCCAACATTTGGCATAAATAGTTTGTACGATGGTGGCTTGTAATGAAAGCTAAGTCTTTTTCCTAAAAGATAAATATCAAACTAAGATGAAGCAATTCGATCTTCGTAGATAAAGAGAAGAAAAGGATAAAGAATCCCAAGCAACCAAAGGTTCCACATTCCACAATAAAAACCCTCTTTCAATTTCAAGTTCCATAAAGTGCATATAAAGTTTCAACATAACTTTCTGGCTACTTTAGAAGCTATAAGAAGCACACAAGGAACTTCAGGCCTCAAAAAGTTCCGATGCGTACTCTTAGCAACTTAAAGTTCAACAAAAGTTCCAAAAAGCATCCCAAACTCTTCTTAGGAAAGTCAGGCAAGGCTGAAAACATGTCCACAATAATGTTCCAAACAAGCTCCCAGCGAAACTTTTTAGAAACTTTAAAGTTTCTTAAAATTTCCGTGCGGAACTTCTTAGCAACTTGAAAGTATCTAAAATGGTCCGTAATAGCCCGCATGAATCAATCCACACAAGTCTTTATTAGTAACTAAATTTCATGTACGTATATATGGAATGGCTCAAATAAGTCATAATTCTTATATATATGAAGTGTATCAATATTCTATCCAAACATTAAAAAAATAAAGAGCATTTTCCTGGATTCGAACCGGTGTCTTTGGCATGCGGTCTACGAACGCTAACCACTGCGCCACAAGTGTGTTAGACTAACATGCGGACAAACACCAATTTAACATTTATCAAAGTTTTGTGCTACGTACTCAAGTCAGTCAGCTGGCACTGAATACTCCAACAGTAGGCGGGACAACAACTCACTTTAATATATCTCAGATGGCGTAGTGGATTATGCTGCGGCTCTCACATAGAAGGACTGGGTTTAATTCTTCAAACAGTTCTCATGCTACTACTACTTGTTTTCTACTTTCCATTTAAGTTCAACCAGAAGCTGCTTAGAATGCTCTTCAACTATGGCACCGGAACTTTCAACTTCTTATAACGACTTAAAAATGAGGCTGCTTAGGATTCTATAGACCACCTTCAACCAAGCGACTTAAGCCTCAAATAGCCTTTTATCAGAACTTTTGGTTACTTGGGATCATCCCAAACTATATGCTGGGAAAA